CCCGCCACCGCGTTCTCCGCGGCGAGAAAAGCCGCTCCCGCCTCCCTGGTCTGGTGGGGGGAAGCGCCCCCCCGTGCCACCGGAGGCGGCGACAGTGGGGGAGGCATCCCGCACTAGCTGCGCCACCCCCCCCGCCCCCATTTGTAACTAGGGATCCGACGTAAGTCGGATTGATGTAACCCGGGGACTGCCTGTTCAAAGATGCGCTGCGCATTATTTTAGATAAAGTAAACTATATCTACATCTTTTAAAATGGCGAATAAAAGACATGAACGACTTTGTGTGGGCCTCCTGCATGGAGATACATTTCAGCCATAGAATATAATCCATCATATTTACTGGTGTTAGAGATCAAAGACAAAACTAGATAATTTTATTGCCATTTATAACAATTATATCTATTGTCCTCATATTTTCTCTTCTGGTTTTAGAATAGTTTGTTTTAATTATGAATGTCTCTCAAATAATTTGAAATTAAATCTGTGAACAACTTGAAGTCAGTTTTTTCCCTTCCCTTCCCTCAAGAATATTTTAATTGTTTTTATTTGAATGTTGCCCCTTGCTCTCTTCCTGCAGTGTATTATTAATTCCAGTTTTTCTGTGGAAAAACACCCAAGCAACTTGAAGTCTCTCTCCTGTAGTGACACTTCGCAATAATCATTCAGTTATGATTAGAGCACAAATGTTTGTAAATCTCACATTTAACTGATTTAAAGACACTTGACTTTTTTGCAGGACCTATTTTTAATTATCATGAATTGTTCTTATGTTGTAAATTTGATCTGACAGCTTCCTTATGCATGTGTGCCGTTTTTGCATTATTCTGTCAGTTGTGTCAGATGAAGTTTTACTTATGGAGTAAGTTCTTATGGCTTCTTGCATTCCTATTTTTGCTAGAGCTTCTATAGCAAGGGATCTGGGTCTAACTGAAGGTGTGCTGATAAATTGCCTGCTTCTTAATAGGTTTTAATGTTTCATATTGGCAATGATCAGCAAGACTATGATCTGTAATAATAAAAGTCTCAGCTGCTTCCTTTTGTTCCTGGCACCTTCTATAAAAATTTCTCCATTTTCATACATAGTATTCTGTCCACTTGTGAAATGAGGATCAAAAGCTTCTTTCACTTTGATGTATTCTTTCTTTTTCTCATCAGTGAGGGATAGGGCTCACTGAATGTCATCAGCAGTGCCAGCCATGAGAAATTATCAAGACATTTATTTGGTATCCTTGTGCTTTCTCTGGGCAACAAGAAGCAATTTGGAATTGCTTAGATCTCTAAATCCAGTAAAGCCAACTGCTTCCTTTTTTTGCAGAACCACTGGCACTATGGCAGCTGCCTGGCAGGCGCAAGCCCATTAAATAGAAGCAGTTGAAAGGGCTCGCTGCTCCCAGCTCCACCGTTAACATGTTGCCTGGCAGCCTCGGAGAAGGTGCGAGTCCTTTAAATAGAAGTAGTTGAAAGGGCTTGTGCTTCCCCGTCTCCCAGGCAATGCCTTAGGGGACGGAGCTGGGATCTCCTTTGCAGGCTGGATAAGAGCTAGGTGGGCCGGATCCAGCCAGCTGACAAGACTTTTCCCCAGCCCTGTCGTTCGGGGTGCTTGTGTCTAGTAATAGTGCAGTGCAATTATTCTTACATGGCAATTCGAAAGAACTGGCTCACCTAACTATTTTTTATTAAGAGGAGATGCAGTCTTTAACTAGTTTTGGCTGTCATTAGTATCAGCTGTTTGAGAATCCAGCAACAGTTAAGTGTCCAAAAGGAATGTGAGGTGTGAAGCTATAGCTTGTGTGTTATAAAATTGTGTGTGTTAAGCAAAGGTCACATAGTCTACCCTGTATACATTTTGTCAGGATATAATTATAGCAATATTTTTTTGCTGCCTAAGAAAATAACAGCAGAAATTATTTGAATTTCAGTCCAGAGTATAAATAGGAAAATATGTAATATCCACTGGATTCAAATAATATTAACGAGCTATGGTCTTTGATAACTTAGCTCTATGAGGATTTTAAAGGGAAGTCTGGGGTTTGAGAGAGAGATTTTCCAGTTTGCATGAATACAGGCAGTACCCGACTTACGCGGATCCTACTTATGTCGGATCCGCACTTACGAACGGGGCTTTCTTGCCCCGGAGCTCACAGGCAGCGTGGCTGCGGCTTCAGTCCCGGTGCCTGGGGTCTGCTGGGGACCGTCCCCAGCAGACCACAGGCACCGGGTCTCAAGGGGCAGCAGCAGCGGTTCCCGCGCTTCTGAGGCTTTGCTCTGACAGGGCTTTGCCTCAGAGGCGCGGCACCCCGCTGCCGCTGCAGCTTTGCTCCCCGTGTCCCTGGTCTGCTGGGGCGGGGGATGCAGCCAGTGTGCCCCCTCCTCCCCCCCAGCAGACCAGGCTTTTGTTGTGGACCCTGGGGTAGAGCAGCTGGGCTGCTGGCAGGTTGGTCCTGCAGGGACCTACCTGGCAGCCCAGCTGTTCTGTCCCAGGCTCGAGATTTACCCCGCCACCCGATGCCCCCCACCTGCTCTGCCCCAGGCGTCCTAATTCAGCCGCTGCTGGTCAGTTTCAGCAGCAGCTGAATCAGGACTCCTGGGGCAGAGCAGCTGGGGTGCTGCTGGGTTTGTCCAGTAGCGCTGAGGAGCGGCGCTAGTGGAGCAACCCAGCAGCACCCCAGCTGCTCTGCCCCAGGCATCCCCAAGTCAGCCGCTGCTGAAACTGACCAGCGCTGACTACAGGAATCCCGAGGCAGAGTTCAGCAGCGGCTGAATCTGGACGCCAGTTCCAACTTACATACAGATTCAACTTAAGAACAAACCTACAGTCCCTATCTTGTACGTAACCTGGGGACTGCCTGTAGTGGAGGTATAGCTGTGCTCACTCTTGCCTCCCTTATTTCAACCGTTTTTTTCTAGCTAGTCTTGAAGAAAATGATGCACTGTCTATTTATTTGCAAACCTTTTCTTCTTGAATATGTGAATACCTTTTTTGTTTTTAATTGCAGGGCCGAGAAGCATTGGAATGGGTAATCGGTAAATTGAATGCTGAAATTGAAGAGTTCACAGCTTCAGCAAGAGGAAGCATGAGGACATCTATGGCAGCAGCAGCATTTGTAGAGAAATAATAGTGAATACAACTATTTCAATTAATAGTTAGGTTTAAGCATTTGAAATAAGCAAACTAAAGCTTCTCTCCACGTTGAAATATATTTATTCTTATATTTGTTATTTAAAGGCATATTTGTATATTAGGTAGGTTTTTAATGAAAACTTGGAGAGAAGTTACAAAACCTTGTCATTGAGGGTTATGTGAGGGAGGGGGGGCTTCATGAATATGTTAGTTCTACTGGACTGAACATTTGTTGCAACTGAAATAACCTTCTGACTTTTTCAGAGCTAGTTCCTGTAGATAAAAACTATTTTATATAAGTTTTTATCCTAAGTATCATTGCAAATGTTGTGGGAAGTTGACATGTTAGTGAATCCTACTTGGGTAGAATTCAGTGCTTTGATTCATGGACTCTACCTCTTTTGGGACCAAGCTCAAAATTAAGCAAAATAGCTTGTTTCTAGTAAAGCTGGTGTTTTGTTTTGGGCAGATGAATGATATAACTAGTTTGAAATGGAAGGTTTATTACTTGAAGTCTGAAGTATAAACGAATGTTTGTATAACAATACTTTTTTTGATAAACTGCTGTTAAAAAGTTATTGGATTGATTTTAAAGTACTTTTAAAGGTCTCTATATCCATCAAACAGCAACTCACAATAAAAGTCAGTGTATAGTTTGGAATAGTGTACTCATCTGCTGAGGCCCAGTTTCTGTCATTAAATATGAAATCGGGTGTTGCAGGCCAATAAGTGAAGGAAGAATTTATCCATAAATTTTTTGTGTCCACCATTACAAAAATGAGAAAAACAAACTATATTTAGAAGGGTGCTGTAACCACATAATATGTGCATTTTAACATATTATGTAGGCCATTAAAGAGTCATAGAAAAACAGAAATTCAGAAGAAAATCTTTCTTGAAGTTGCTAGAACTTTTTAGAACTGTAGAAGCGAGACTGATATTTCCTTATGTTTTCAGGAGATGTTACATTGCTAAACATGTTTAAAATGTTGCCTGATCGTGCTTAAAAATGTTCATTTAGCATGCCATCACAGACTATTAAGTGTCCTTTAATTTAAACAAAGTTTTTGCATTTAATGTTGTGTGTAAAGCTTTGTGTGTCTCCTTTATATCTTATTGAAATGATTGTCTGCTTACAAACAAGGCTTTTAAACGAAAGACAGTAATTAAAATTTAGAAGAGAGTTTGATAATATTGTCTCTTGGTACTGGCCACAGATTCCTGGTACTAGCTCATTCTTGAGTTCCCACAGCTTATTGCTAAAGGTCAGATTTTTGCTATTTGTACTGATGGTTGAGTAACGTATTATTCTGCAGATAATTCCATTGGAATCCGGAAGTCTTCTAATAAAATAAGGCACCCTTCAATGTTGGGGGGGGGGGAGTATAAAATGTAGCATTAAAGAAACTGCACTGATGCTTTACTGGTCATAAATCCTGGCTTCTGGTGCCATAAGGGTCCATTTGGCATTTTAGACCTAATTGTAATTTTTCAGAATATAGTATGTTGTCACCTGTTCAGTATTTTCTGTTATATGCCCTTTTTCTGTGCTACTAAATTGAGTAATGATTACTGTGTGTCAAAGTAATATAGTACTAGATCTTTTCTTAGTTTAATAGTGCTCACTATAGTGGGAACACAAACTTCCAATATGTTATGATTTTTTCACATAGAAGAAAGACGTGTGTGTGTGTGTGTGTAATGTAACAAGAAAATTTGTTTATTTAAAATGTAATTTTTTTCTACTTAAAACCTATGGAGTTTTAATTAGAGATTTGGTATATTTGTAAAAGCAATTGAAATCCATTAGGGTTTGTAGCTTTTTTACATGTGGAGATTGTTCGTACAACTGAAACTGTATTTCAGCTAAAAATGAGTAAATGTTGCTATGGGATAAACTTGATACAGTATGACTTACAGAAACGTTATCTCATGATAAAAGATGCAATGCTCAGATTAGTGATTAGAAACTTTCTATCTATGTACCTTTACTCTTAAATTTAGCTTAATTCTGAGCATAAGCTCAGCATAAATTTTCCTCATTTTGCTGCACTGAGGACAAACTAACTTGAACTGGCAATATTTAGTTTGCATTTAAAGAATTTTTATTTTTTCATATTTATTCAGGCTTTCATGCTCTTCCTGAACAAGTTAGTGCCTTTTGTGTGTGGGGTTTTTTTTATTTTAAATAAAGTTAGCTGACTGTTGGCTATGAGAAGTCAGTCATGTCATGAGATCTTATATGTCTTTTAGAGTAGGGCAATCAGTCTGAAAGCTACTGATAATTTTCTTCACTGTTAAGTACTGGAGGGGGAGCACTGAATGCAGGGGAAGATGCTCTGCTTTTCAGTTTATTAATTATATAGCATTCCCGAGATGTAGAGCCACACATAAGCTAAACATGAACAGTTCCTAGAACCTTTCTGTATGGCCTAGTATGCTTTTTCTGTAAAACCCACAGACATTAACTCGCAGCCCAATACAAAGCCCATGTACTATCTGATCACTTTTCTTGGGATTAACAAAGGGATCTGAAAGCCATAGGGACAGGGCAGCCCTTTTTGCTCTGAGCTTGTGGCCCCCAAGAGGAACTACTTTCCTGAAATTTCCCAAAGTGCTGTGCAACCGGGGTAACATTCTGCAAGTGTGATTATGGAGAGGCAACTCTGTGAACTATTGTTACCATAGTAACCTGTTTTTATAAACCTGCTGGCTTTTTCATGGTCACTGGCATAAACCCTTGGCTTATACAAAGCTGGCTGGTGCCCAGTTTCTTAGTTCATAACCAATCTAGGAACATGTTTTAACTATTAGGTTAGCCAGACTGTTGGAAATAGGTTTAGGTGAAGCCATTTTTAACTGCTTTGGAAGGTTGGCGCCTTCATGTGATGAGGCAATTCATGGAAGAGAGGGAGCAAGACTGGAGGTTTGTAGACTATTTTCACCATTTTCAGTGATTTGGCTGTGGCTCTAATGGCCCTGGTTCTCTCTTATGAAAGCTGTTTTTGTGTCTATAACAGTTTATCCAGTTAGTGGATGATTCCTTTTGCCTAGGAGAAGTACTGGATGTAGAGCCTCCACTGCAGCCCCCAATGTAGATGACAGCCAGGGCATCCTGTATCTAGCTGACGCACAACTATTTGAATAGCCTTTGGGGAGGTGCCAGCAGCAGTTTTTAATTTACAGCAACCCTGAATCTGTAGCCCTGAACCCCTACCTTTTATTACTGGCGCACAACTGACTTTCTTAAAGCCACTACGCTTGCTGTGAGCATAGTGAGGAAGATCTGGTCCAGAGTTTAAAATTGCTAATCTGAACCAGGATTTCAGGTATCCTTAAGGATCCATATTGTGCTAGCAATTTTTAAGCAGATCATTATTGATTTCAGTGGAAGTTCTGCTTAAAAGTTGCTGTATTATGGACTCAGTAGATTTTTAACGTATGAGTTGACATCATCAGGATTTTGTGGTTCAGTTTATTATCCTAGAAGATAATACTCCTAGTTTTGAGTAGAAGAAAGGTGATTTGGGACCTATCTACACTTTTACTAGGGAAAAATAATTCAATAGTGATATTGTGTGTATACAACAAACAACAAAAAATCACTTATTGCCTGCCAGACATCTCTATGCCTGCTGTTAGACTTTTTATAGAGAGGACCTCAAAAAAGCAGCCAGAAAGAAATTGAGGCCAGAGTTCACTGCACTTATTGTTCATGTTCTTCGGTGTTGTGTGCTCCCTGCCTCTTTGCAAGTTCATATCCAAACTGAACATATTCTTATAGCTACTTTGTACTGGTCTTAGGGTCATATCTAAAGTAACTATCAGATTTTTCCTGTTCTGTTTCCATAGTGTACTCACTAGCATGTAAAAAGGATGGTACTGACGATTCCTACACACTAGAGTTCTAGTGGGTTCTTTAATGTGAATTGAAGCCCACGAGTGCTGCTAGAGTTATTTGAAATGTATATCTTAAATTAAATTTGGGAATATGATACGTTGATCAGTTTAATCTCAGGTCCTCCTGAAATTTATGATCTATGTTGTTATCCCCACTACTGTTATGCTCAACAGAATTTATAACCTGTTTAGTTAGTTTTAGTCCCCAAGAATACCTGTGACTGGTCATACTAGCTAATCAAGGAGATTGCCTTTTGAAATCATGCTCCTACTGTATGGCTGAAGGCTGTAATGTGTTTGAAAAACTAATAAAAGAACAAAATGGTATTTTTCTTTGTGCTTGGTGAGAGTTAATCTACTGGTGTTTGTGTTTGGGCTTCTTTGTGTATTTCAGTAAACAGCTTCTCTATGGGTGATGTTTACTTTCCTCCCACTGCATCATTTACATAGGTTTGGGGTGTGTAATGCAGGGCTCCAGTGATGTAGTTTGCTCCCCCTCAATTTTGGGGATCCACATTAGGGTGGATCTATCAAGCCCTCAGTCCCAGTTGTATCTTCCATGCTGGCCTGTCTTGCTCCCTTTCATGACATGCAGGAGCTGTCTGCAGACCCATACACTTGGGCTCTAAAATGGTCCAGAAAGCATTACTTCTGGTTGTTTTGACAGTGAATTAATATGTACTATACTTTTCAGAGTAGAAGTATCTTCACCATTAGAACAATTTTCATGCAGGATGAGTTATACCCCGCTGTGGAGGACAAATGAAAAGCTATGTGGCCTATAAAACTACGACAGTGCAACTTGCTGTGACAAAGTCCGTTCTATTGGTCAGAACAAATATTGAAATAAAACATATAGTTAGTTGGTTCATAGACACTGATGGAAATGAAACACTTGCAAAACTAATTCCTAGTTGACAGGGGAAATGTTATCCATTACTGATGAGGGGTATCTGCATCAGTTCAGCTGTCTACAGTTAAACTGCAAGTGTGGATCAGAATAAGCTATGTTCAGGCTATTTTGGAAAGTCTGCTCTGAGCACATTTCAACCACTGTTTCCTAAAACAGTGCTAAATAACTTTTACTGTGTAGCCTTGCCATTAAACAGCGTATAGCTCAACCCAGTCCTGAGAACAGTCTACTGTTTTGAGTCTAAATAAATAAGTGCATCCATTGCTGATGGGGTACCACATTCGGAGGAAAGACTGCTGCCAAAATCTAATAGCAGATTTATGATCATCTAGGAAGGCATGTAAGGCGATCTCATGTGGAAACTGACATTTCAGAGACCCTAAACTCTTCAGAGTTGGAAGATGCTCTTTCATTGAGAAGCTGTCTTTCCCCTCTCAAAGCACTTAAATCTTTTGGTGGATCTAATCCTAAATCCCTAACTGCCATTTTAGACACAGTCCAACATTTAGGTACCATTGAAATTCTCAAAAGCCCCACTGAGCTGCTGCCTAATCCTGAAGGTATCTAAATTCCCTAGCACTTGCTGTTTTTGCCAGTATATTTTCCTAGGAGCCTGTTTCTCTATGGGTGTGTGTGTGTATGTGAAGCTGCCCAGCAGTACAAGGACTTGCCCAGCAGTACAATGTCCTCGCTTCCCAGTGGCATGCTCACATGAAGCTTTTCTAGTGGGCACCAATTTGGTTCCTGTGCTCAGACCATACTGAATCTGCACAAAAGGCATCTTTGGGGCAATCAGCTTAGGAATTTTTAGGGGCTGTGGCTGGGTCCCAGAATACCCAAAATTTAATGGTTAGGGCCTAAGTTCCCTGTAAACTGCACAATTGTGTGACTGTGCAGCTAACTTCTGAGCTCTGCTCAGAAGTTCAAAGCTCCCACACAGGCAGGGAGCTCAGCTGACAGGTGAGATGGGGGAGGGTGCTTAAAGGGAGCTGCTCCATGTTTGAAACTAACCAGCTCCCAGAGCAGGTAAACAAGGGAGACAATAAGTGGCAGGGGGAAGAGGGAGGAGGAGAAAGGAAGGGAATGATTGGCTGAGGAGGAGTCAGAGGGGAGAGGAGTTTGGAGAGTCTCATCTGTGGGAGGAGAAAGGCAGGAATTCAACACTCTCAATCCTCCTGAGAATGGGGAGATAACGGGCTGATTGCATAGTGTAGGTGCTGGCATTGGGGTGAGGTGGAGGCTAGGGGGAGGGTTGGTTTTTTGCTGGGAGGTGTGGATAATTTGTTTGTGCTTTAGCTGGGAGTTAGGACAGGACAGACTGCTAGTGTGAGAAGCAGAATTTTATCCCAGCTCATATAGGGAGTTTGTTTGTTGCAGATATCAAACTCTGATCTTAATAATTTTTTTAAAATCCTGTGTTACTAATTAACAGGGCTTGACAATTAGTGTAATCTCCTCACCCATGGTGAGTAGATTACAAGCCTGCACAGCGCGGTCTGCGCATGTGTAGCGTGCCGAACCACACGGCTGGTGAGCGGGGCTCGCCGCCACTTGGCGAGCCCTGCTAATTAAAATATGGTATATGCGACTTCATATTAAATATAGTAAGCATTGCTCCTTTTTAACAATCCCTTGTTTTAATATATTTTCTTCCACACATATAGACTGCCTAAAATGTGTGTTTTGTATTGATGGTACACATCCACATACTACTTCAATATTGGTATTGCACATAAGAAATTTCAAGCCAGCCCAAAGAAAATGTTAGCGGAAATACTGGTTTGAAGCCCTAGGATTTCGCATACCCTATGTCAGTGTTGGACAGGAGGGGGCTAGTGGGCAGGATCAGGCTGGCCGGGCTGCTGAATCCATCCCGCAGCTGCCTTGCTGGCCCCCCTATTACAGAGCAGCTGCAGCCACTTAAACATCAGGCTACTAATTGCTCTGCATGCTGGGAAGGGAGGAGAAAGGTTCACATGCTGTCCCTGCCCCCTAGCAGAATCCCTAAGCTCCCTCTGGCTCGTTTCTGGCCAATAGGAGCTGAGAAATTTTGCTGACACCTAGCAATGAATGAAGCCTCTTCCCTCCCTGTCCTGGAGCAGAGCCATGTGGAGCAGTGTGTGTGGCACACTGAGGCAGGGAGCCTGCCTCAGGTTCCTGCGGAGCTGTTGGCTAGGAGCTGCATATGTAAGCATCTACCAGCCAGAGCCTGCCTCTGGCACCCCACCCCTTCTCTTCCCCGAAACTACCTGCCCCAGGCCACCGCCCAAATCCTCTGTATCCCCTCTCACCACCTTCTCCAGGACACAACTCCCTCCCAGACCTTACACCCCTCCCCCAGGCCAGAATCTTCTGCATCTCCTCTACCCTGCACCCCAAGCCCTTGCCCCAGGTTATAACCCTATCCCTCACCCAAGCTTCCTCTCAGGCCCCACACCCCTTCACAGAAGTGCAGCCCAGGACCACTTAACAAAATCTTGCAGTGGCCGCCCATTAAAAAATTTTGCCCTCCCCTATGTCCTTTGGTAGATGGAGTGGGTGGGAAGGGAAAACCCTTTCACCTTCCATACGCTACACTAACTGCTAGATATCACTCACACAAACTAACTGTAAACACTATGAACACATGACGCTTGTGGTCCAGGAGAACCACAATTCCAAAAGCCATCATTGGCAATATGAAGGAACTTAGGGGTGCTTGGGTTAGCAGGGTCATGTATAGTGCGCTGCACTGCTCCAGGGTGTTTCACAGCTGACCTGACAGTTGCTAGGACACACCACATGCACATCTAATTGAAATTGATATAAGCAAGCACTTGAAGAAGAACTTGTTTTATTTTATAGCCCTGATCCTGCAACCAGCTCTGCTGGAACAAGTCCCTGTCAATTTGGTTCTATGCAGGTGTAAAGGATGTGCTGCCATGGAGTGGCTTGCAAGATCAGGGCCTCTATTTGTATGGCAACATATACAGTTAATAATATTTGTAAAATTCCAGTGGAAAGGGAAACATCTGATTAACTAGCAGCCATGGGAGTTTTTGGCTTGCTTTTTGTATTATTTTTAAATTTATTTAAAACTAGCTGGAGTTACCTGGTGTTGCTTGGGGTGAGCCATGGGGTCCTGCCAGGGGTGCCCCGTGTGAGGAGCGGGCGGGAGGGAGGGAGCATGGGATCTAGAGTGGGCGGGGTGGCCCAGCTCATGCCTGGGACTGCAGATTCCGCGGGGGGGCAACGACCTCATCGCCCACCCTGAAACTTTCACCCCGCTACCTGCCGCACCATGGGGCCATGCCGGGGGCTCCCCTCTCTCGTGGGCCGTGGCAAGCAATTGCTGGGCTCCTCGCCAGGCAACCAGGAAGCTGCACCGACCCCAAGCTGCTCCCATCACCACTGCCACCGCCGCCACCTCACTGCTGGGCTCGCCCCGCTGCGCCCACAACTGCCCCCTACCAATGGCCGCAAGCTCCAGCCTGCTGCTTGGCAACCCTCAGCCACTGCTGGAGGGGAGGGGCCCGGGCCAAGTGACATCATGGGCAGGAGGGAGGAGGGGGCTCCCCTGCCCCGGACGTGCCTGTGCAGCAGAATGGCCTGGTAGAGGCAAGTGGGTCAGCTGCCACTCGGAGCGCCGCCCCGCCCCTCGCGCCTCCACCACCAACCTTAGTGAGTGACTGTCCCCACCGCTTCCTCCAGGAAGCTGCTTCTCCCCACACTGCCTAAAGTACCTTAAAACCTTCTCCTGGAGGAAAGGTTACCCTATACAAAGTTTGGTTGCGGTATCTCTTATAGTGCCCAAGTGATTAGCGCACAAACATACAAACATTCTCCTTTATATATTAGATAAATTTGAAGTATTGTACAGATTGTACAGCCTTTGTTTCTTTCGTATCTTTCCCATGTTCACTTCAGGCTGAGACATTGCATGTTTGCAGCTTCTCCTGCTGCAGGGGCTAGCTTGAATACAACAATATTTTGAAACAAGAACTGTTCTGCTTAACTCATAGCTGAGTTACAATTATGCACACACAATTGTTGGCAGACAGTTTTAGACTTATTTATGAGTAGTAGTCGCAACCAGGTCCAATATACAGGACATGAGTTTGTGAATCAGGGGACCTAGGTTATAATTTTGACTCTGCAACTGTCTGATTTTAGAGACATAATTTTATTTCTCCATTCCTTGGTGGGTAAACTCAAATCAGGGTGTGTCAACTCCAACTATGTTATTAACATAGCTGGAGTTGCACGTGTTAATTCGACCTTCCCCTTTAGTGTAGACCTGGCTGCAGTAAGAATAGACATTATACCTCTTTAGTAATGCATCTGAGAGTTGGATTCACAGAGGTATTTAGTGATTTCAGAGGCAGTTAGATGCCCAAGTACCTTTGTGAATCCCATAAGTAAGGCTCTTAAGTCACTTGGGTGCTTTAGGAAATTATTTACTATCTTCTGTAAAATGCTTTGATATATACTGAAAAAAGCCCTATATTATTGTGTTATGTAAGATTGTTAAATATATTTTAAATTAAAAGAACAAGGAAAAGTAATTAAATACATCATTTACAAGTTATTTGTAAACTAGTAAATGTGGACTGAATCCTGACCCACAACATTCCTATTATGCCAGACATGGGGATCTCTAGATAGTAGTCTGCCAACCCTGCCAAAATGTTTAACTTGTGGAATGGACAAATGAAAACTAGAATTTCACTGCAAAAGTAATTTTTTTTACTTGCAGTCTAAACCGGGAGTTGAATTCAGATGTCCAAAAGTTAAAAAAAAAAATCATAGGTCATCTACTTCACCAGTTCCTCTCCAAAAATCTAGATCTGTAATAGAAAACAATACAGAACTACAATCTAACATTAAAATTGTAGATCATTTCAGAGTTCTGTATTATGTACTAGTGGCCCATGCTAAGTGCTTCATTGAGGCAGTAAGAGGTTTATCAGACAATGACATGTATTTTAATCATCATGGCGTGATTTGCAGTAACCGTTGAATGGATTAAGGTCATCTGCTGGAAGCACAGTAGAGCTTTAACAGCAGAGCCCAATATGACACACACTAGAGAAGAAAGGTGACAAATCCACAACTAGGGAAGGCATGATGTATTATTAAAGGTCTGTGTATATTCTGTGCAACGACTATGCTTCCATGTTTCTCCAATGTGTGTCATTTCACAGGAAAAGCAGAGTAGCTTTGTCATTCTAAACAACTGCAGAAGAGACACAGTGAAGGAATACTGGAGTTAGTAGCATGCTGGAAATCATGTAAATATCAGTTTTTCATTGTGTTGTAACTTGTGATTAACTTAGTTATGATTTGCTTTCTATTGAAATATGCATGCATGAAACTTTTTAATCTGAAAAGAGTCACAGAATGAAGGATCCTTATTCATTAGACGGGAAAGGATTTCTTCAGAGGTGGTTCATAATTTTTGTTGTTTCATCAAGTGTACAAGGGAAGGAGGACTGTGAGCATATTTATATGCTTATGAACATTACTGAAACCTGTGTGGCAAGAAATGTTCACATATTTTACCATTCTGATCCATATTCTGTGTACACTTAATAAAATGACAGTTATGTTGGAAGGGTTATTAATTAAATCATGGGTTTATTAAAACTAAATGTAAAGTTTATTTGGTAATTCAGTATTGTTGTGGCCTTGTATTGTTGGATATGTGGATTTTATTTTGTAGAATGAAATACCAGTATTTTAAATATGGTGCCAAATTCCTGTAGTCCTTAGTCTGTACATGTTCAGAATAAACTTTAGTTGGTGTCTAGTAGACACTTCTCTTGACTAAGAAGCAACAGTAGTGGGAGTAATAATGTTAAATCAGTTAGACAATGATACAAAGTTTGGGTGTGTTCTTAACCACCTGAGAAACTGTTGCTTTGCATCATGGAAAAAATAAGTGCATGCCTTACTGTCCTGGCCCATTATACTGTGTTTGAACACAAGTGAGTGAATATATTTTTGTAATTATTTTTTTAAATACATCAGTTGCCATATGTCCCATCATAACTGGGATCAATAAGGTTGAAATTGCTAACTGTCTTGCTGTGCAGTCTTTAGGGGCCAGGAGCAGAGCCTGCAACTGTAGAATTCTCACCTTGTGATCTGTCCCAAACTATATTAAAAATACCATTATGAACTAGAATCTGAAAGTTTTTTTTATTTTTACAATGCTTATGTTTTGCAGCTTTGCTGAGCATTTGCCAAACTTTGTTCACACTTTGGGATTAAAATGGATGTATTGTCCTTTTATCATAATTGATTTCTTCAGTATAGTTTATTAAGGAAGGCAGAGTGCCTACAAATTAAAGATCATCATTATTTTATTAAGAATTACATGCAAAGAAAAAATGACAAGTGATCTGATGAGACCACTATGTAAAATACGTAGCATGATAGAAGCTGCCAGATCTTTTCAATATATTTCTGAATTTGTTGTGAAGGCAATTTGGAATAACATTAACCTCCCAAAATAAACCAATATTTATTGCTGAGAAATTTACTGTTTTCTTTCCCATCTCTGTTAACTTCCTCAAGGAGATGCACTTAGCTGAATTATGCTACCTCTCCTTCAGCATTAATTCAGAGAGAGAGAAATAAGCCATTATATCTTTACACTGATAGGCCAAGTAGGATTCACACTTCCCATTTACAACTACATATTTATTTAAACTGTAAGCCATTAAAAACCTATCATCTGCCTGTCTGCAATGGTATTTATTCCACACTAATCACCATGGCATCTGAATACCCCTTGATATCTGGAAATCAGAAGTTGAAAATAAGGTTTATTAACTTCCGTTTTCTTATTTAATTATTTTATTTTAAATAATCAGGTCAGGTGATGAGCCTGTGTATGTAACAAGAGGGTATTTGGAAGGTCCAGTCCTAAGATATTGCACATACTATGGTCTCTAGAGACACTTAAAAAGACAGATACATACTCGTGCAGAAATGCATCTATGCATTTACTTGGCTGGAAGTCTGGGATTCTGGGAAATACTAGTATTCTAAGGGATAATGCTGTGGGTTTGTAAGATTATAATTTAGTTTCTTAAAATCCCAGAGTGAAATTTGTGTTTAGTTACTTTCAACAGTAATATTAATTGGTTTTCATGTTCTCTTTGTTTTATATTTTCTTAGCATTTTCACTGCTGGAGATTTTTAGCTGAACCTGCCTATGATTAAATAAGACACCGATCATTTTGCAGATGTTCTTGGCTTTTCAGTCTCTTTGGTCTCCCTGGACCATTCTGGTCTCACCTTTTTGGCCTCCCTGGACCCCTCCATTTTTGAGTCTTCAGCTACCTTAGAACGTTTCAAACTCACCTTTTCAGATTCCTTGGATCTCTCCAGTCTCAGCTCTTCAGATTCTTTAGACCTCTCAAGCAACACTTCTTCATCCTCCCTGGACCTCTCTGATCTCACCTCTTCATCATCTCTGGACCTCTCTAGTTGTACCTCTTTGGCCTCCAGCATAACCTCTTCAGTTTCTTTGGATCTCTCCAGTCTCGCGTCTTCAGACTCCTTGCAGCTCTCCAGTTTCACCTCTTCAGTCTCGTTGGACCTTTCCAGTCTCACCTCTTCAGTCTCGTTGGACCTTTCTAATCCCAGCTCTTCAGTAACCGTGGACCGCTCCAGTCTCTCATCTTCACCCTCACCTTCAGCTTCTGTGGACCGTCTTTATTCAGTTTCTGCACCCTATCTGGACATATCTGATCACACTGCTTCAACCTCTTCACCCTCAGTAGACCTCTCTGATTTTAACACTTCAACATCTCCGTGTCCCTCTGATTTATCCTTATCAACCACCCTCTCTTCACCCTTTCTGGACCTTTCTGACCTTTCCTTTTAGGATGCCTCTTCTCTCACCTCTTCAGTTTCTCAGGACCTCTCCAGTCTCATCTTTCTGGATGTCTCTAACCTTTCATCTTCAGCCTCTGTTGATCTCTCCATTTAACCATGTCAGCATTTCCAGTGTCCTCTCTTTGGCCTTGCTGGACCTTTCTAATATCTGCTTTTTAGCATACCCTTTCTACTGGCTGCAGTCTGGCCAACAGCCTTGCCGGCCCCCTGGGCAAGACGAGGGGAAGCTGCTTTATGCCACCAGAAGGGGCAGAGTCTTGGGTGGAAAGGACAGGGCGGGGGTAGGCAGCTCTCCACACAGCCCAGAGAGTGCCATTCCTCCGCTAGGCAGCCCTCAGTGCTGCCCCGAGCAGGCCACATAGCACTCTGGCAGAAATTTAAAGGGCCAGTTGGGAGCTCTGGGCCCTTTTCTATCTCCAGGTCCTGAGGCAGCTACCCCTTTTACCTCCTCCCACCCTCCCCCACAGTAAACACACAGTAATCACAACTGGCCGTAACTGAAACCCTTGCTAGCAATATCTGTGGAGAGGTCAAATAGGGACTGTGCAGGGAGAGTGAACTCCCACCTCCAGACTTATAGGGCTTTCAGGCACACTGACTGATGTGGCAAAATAGAGCAGTTTTCACTTTTGCTATCTTTGCTGTACATGTTGTCTAAGAGACTGTATTTGTGCAGGAATAGAATCTCCAGGACCGAGTCTCACTTCTTTCATCAGTGCTGTTCACCAAGTTTTGGTTTGGATTCTGAGGAAGCTTTATTGTCATTCTTATCATGTCTGGATGTTTTTAATGTCATGGTGTTTAGATCAAGTGGAAGCTCAACTGCATTTGGAAATGGCCTGTTCTTTACCATGTAGCAGCTTCTGCATGTGAGACAGACTCTAATATGTCGATTGATATGTTTACTGGGGAGATTTGCCCAGTGGTGGTGTCCAGTGCTGTCTGATGGAACAAAATAGGCCTTGTTTCCAACATGAACCATTCAAATGCTGCCCCTCTGGTAACAGCTCTGAAAGGATGAAAGGCTAATTTTCAGATCATACCCAGTTTAAATCCACTTCTGCAGCTTCCTCTCTGTCCCTTCCCAGGACTCTTGCACTGAACAGGCCACCATGTATACATCATCTTAGGAGGCAACTAGCAGTAAATCTGCTTCACACTTGAGAAGTTTCCTTTAAAGGCATTCCAAGGAGCAGTCTGCGGAAGAAACTTTTGCAGTGTAACTGCAGCAAGGCCCTGAATGGATGGCCCAGATCTCCAGGGATTCCCTAATACACATGTTGATCCAAGGACATGCATAATTTGTTTGGGGTTTTTTTTTGGGGGGGGGGGAAGGGGAGCACAAAACATACACATATGTCAGTGGAAGGATTCCATAGGTCTGATGCAAACCCCACTGAAATAAATGAAATTACTCTCATAGATTTAAATGGGTTTTGGCTTAGGCTCCATAAGAGAAGCTCAGAGATTCATCTTCAAATATCTGACCTTCAGTTTTCAGGAGGCCATGCTTGGGCTCATCAGTTTTTTTATTATTATTGTTATATATGTAAAGTAACATGCTATTTTCAGGTTGCTGTAGAAAATGATTAGATTGGAATTTCCTGTGGTATATATTTTGCCTCCATGTCTATGTTCAGACAAATTATGAGTATAGTTTTCAGGAGCATACAAATATTAAAAAAGACAGTTTTCTTTTGTTATATCTAAAGGAGGACCTTTTAAAATCTTTACTTTCCTAAGGATGAGGTCTCAGTGAGTGTGGGAGAATGTTATGGCTGCAGACACCACTGCTAACTATTCTTAGCTCTTCAGATGTGATTACCTGAGCATTGATTATGTGCATTTTATAAAAGCATATTCTCAAATGTTTGCTTCAGTTATTTTAGCCAGCTGTAACCTAAGCCCCTATTGAAAGGTATTATATAAATGTGAGATGTCATTATGTGATTAATAATACCATCCACTGTTCTCCTGTTTTGTGGAAAATAATTAAGGTTTCTTTGATTTATTCTAATGTTAGATTATTTTCCAACAAGTTTTTGGCAGTGTTTTTAGAAATAAAAAACTGAGGCCCTGATCCTGAAACTGGTTCACTTTTGACAGACCCCTGAAAACATGTAGCACCCAATTAGTGTTTGGAACATTACCGTGTTGGGGACCACTGCTCTAGCCTCCCTCCGTTATGGAGATGTTGGGTGTCACATTGGGGGGGCTGCACGTTTCACACACAAGTGTGGGGTGAATGGCGCTCCTGGGAGCGAGGGGTTACTGTGTTCCCACACCCTGGCAAGCGCTGTGGAGCTGGCTTGAGCGGGGCTCGGTGCAGACCCATGCAGAGTCAGCGCTGGGCCTCCCTGGCAAGGGGCGGCTCGCCGCGCGCCATGGACCCCTGGAGGGAGAGGCGATGCACAGGGCTGGGCTGGGGATCCCAGCCGCACATCCAGAGCCCCGCCAGGGGGCGCTAGTTGGCCACGGGCGCGATTCCCCCCCGCACGGCTTGGCTGCCAAACCCTGCTGCAAACGGAGCGGGGGCGGCGCCAGTTCATTGCGCTCTCTGATTGGTGGCTTAGAGGTGTCGGGTGGTGATTGGTGGGAAACGCTTAGCTCGCTGCGATTGGCCGAGTTCCGTGAGGCGATGCAAACTGTGATTGGTGAAATGGGACGGCTTCCGATTGGTTACCGGCGAGTGGCTTGGCTCTTCCTGTTCCGGCGCGCGCCGACCTTGCGGCCTGTGTCCCTAGAAGCACAGCCATGGTGGCCTACTGGAGACAGGCCGGGCTCAGGTACCGGCTGCTCGCG